GGCGCCACCCCTGATTCTAAACCCTCCAGAATTTCAAATTATATTTGACAAATATATGTTACATGGCTAAATATGGTCATTATGACATCACATCATGATCATATATAGGTACATCATGACTATATGGTCATACAATAGTTGTTGTCAAAAGAAATTTGATAGTCTGGAGAGATGCTTCAGAAGACCATTGAAAATAATAACAGTCAAAACATTGTTTCGTCTCTGACTGAATCAGTATTCGTATTAAATGCCCATAGTCCATATTTTTATTGATTTGTAAAGACTTCCCGCAACAGCATGTTTACTTCAGATGCACATACCTATACCACTGTCGGTGATTCGTGTGCAAAATCGAGAGTGACGTTGTCTTAATATCAATCAATATCTGGTGGATGCACATTTTGCTTAAAAAGTACCGCTTTGTGTATTTTCATTTATCACTGTCATCGTAATACCATCATCATTATCATCGTCATCACCATCGTCGTCGTCATTATCATCTTCATCATCATAATTTGTATCATTATCATCATCATCATAATTATAATGATTATCTGTCAGCATCATAGTCCTTTTCATTTTCATCATTATCATCAGCAGCAGCAGCAGCATCATCAGAATCATCATAACCATTCATCATCATTTTCATAATTATTACTACTGCAATCATCATGATCGCCAATACCTTGGCATTGTGGTCCCGTGTAACCGTCCCAACACGAATCATTAATACATCCATATTTTCGATCACAATATGTAACATTGCAATGACACATTTGTTGACAACTGGCACCATACCATCCAGTGCCACATGCTGTGGGAGAATATGTTTATGGTACATGGTAGTTAAAATAAATGTATGCATAACTTGTATAATATCGAAAATAATTTTTCTATTTAACTTGAATAGGCCTTCATTATTTTGTGGAATTATAAATAATAATGAATCTTGAAAACTAATAATTCTACATAACCTCTTGTAGGACGGTTATTACAATGTGATCTACACTCGGAATTATTACCAAATAAACAGGCTCAAGTTTCCAAACCTTTAAGTCGTAGACGGGCAGAAATAGCTAGTTTTGTTATTGTAAATGCAATTACAGTATTCACTAGATTTAATTAAATCTCTCTAAATAATTCCTACACTTTTTGATATTTTTCACGTTTTGTTACTTCCAATGGAATAGTTTAGTTTAGATTAGTTACCAGTATCACTAGAGCATCTGTGAGTACCTGTCTATGAGAGAAATATTCAATTGATATCTCTAATTAATTAAGGTTAATTGTCGGCACTCTTTTTTCACTAATACGCCAGAAGTAATGCTATAAAATATTCTGTATTCAACAATTTTTCCTCAAATATGGGACAAACTGCCCGGTGAAATAAGGACAAACCTTTTGTTTAATTTCACTTCATCCTGAAGATCTCCCAAGCTTCATTTTACATGTTAATTTCAATTTAATATTTACTTAATTTCTGCATTTTAGTACAAAGTTTTAAGTTATTGTTTCTTTTTTTTTGACAAATGATTAATATTTTTATCTTTATTGTTGGTAATTGTGATATTTTTTATTTTTTGTGGGAAACAATCGATAGCTGATTTTTTTTCCACTTTTTTGGTTTTCCTCTCTTTTGTTGTTTCTCATTGCGTCTGTTTGTTCCTGTCTTTTGTACTTTTTTGATAAATTAAATGAAATGAAAACCTTCCCCAGACGGCCATTATCTATTATTAAGTACCCTACATCTTTAGATTATTATGTTGTGAACAATGTATTATTGAGCAATTTTACCTTGTGAACAGTCAAGTCCTCCGTAACCATCAATGCAGTTGCATCCAACTGGGTCTGGGGGGCAGAATACCACTTCCTTACAGCTTTCTTCTTTTTTCGATTTGCACAAGACACCGCAAAATCGCCCAAAGTTATTTGATCCACACCCTGCATAAATTAATACACATATAAATTGTGAGATGAAAGCAGACAGACTTGGTGGATTAAATAGCGTTATATTTTATTATAATGTGTATATACACTCGCAAAAAGACCGCCTTGGGTGGCCTTTTGCGAGAGCAGAAAGACAGAGCACTCCTGTAAAAATGACATGTTATATGACTTGGGGAACTGTCTTCTGTCTTGTCAAATTGAATCAATCATATCATGTAAGCGAGGAGGTAAGACGTGTCTCACATCCACTCCATAAGAACGCATGTGAAATACAGTTTTTCTTCTACAAACTGCCAGCATTATCGTCTCTGTTTATTCAAAAGGGTATACCAGATTATCTTTGTAACTTAATTATCGATTTAAAATATAAAAAAATACAGTATATTATTTCTGTAGGCCCTAATATTATTTCAGTCTACGGTTTCAAAAATGACGCCTAGGAAAGCCAAGCCGGACAATACTGACAAGCTTGAAACTAGCAAATCAGAGAGCACCACGCCTAAACTGGCTCCACGTGTGAAACTTAACTCGGTGTCTGATACACCTGATTTGCTCGACATAATTCGACATAAAGCCGGTTTTCCACTAGGCGAATTTATTCGCGCGAATCGAAATCGTCGGTTCATAAGCATGCGCATTCACATTTCTATCGGGTTTTTGCGAAGCGAAAAAATGCGCAACCAATCAGAGCTCAGAAAGCGTACTGAAGGTTTGTTTCGTGCGAATAAATTCGCCTAGTGGAAAACAGGCTTTACTTGGTATAATTTTAAATCAACATCTAAACTGGAATAGCCATTGTGATCACATTTCCAATAAAATCTCTAAAAAAAATAGGCATTCTTAATACAATTAAAAATATTATCCCTAAAAGCGTAATGGTAACGTTGTATAATTCTCTAATAGTGCCACATCTAAACTACGGCATACTTGTTTGGGGTTATGATTGTAAAGGTCACAATGCTTAAAAAAAAAAAAGCTATACGGATAACACCTTAAGGTAAATATAACGCTCATACTGAACCTCTATTAAAGAAGCTACATTTGCTTAAGTTATCTGATATTCATAAACTCTGCCAAATTACTTTTGACCATAAATATGTGAATAGCATGTTGCCTGCGTATTTCCAAACTTTTTTTACATATTATTCGTGTACATCACGAATTTGCAAAAAGTGCATTCGTGCTAGTTTACCTTCTGTTGTGAGCCATACTGGAAATGTAATAATTTATAAAGTACATACTCATTCTCTGAAAGGATTCACAACATACACAAAAAATGTATTTATAAATGATTATCTTGAGGTGTGTGTTATTAATAATTGCTATATTTATAGGCCAACTGATAATTGACTTTTATTTTCTTAGTAATCACATAAAAATGTTGCTAACTCTAATGCACGTTCATATTTACCTGGTATGTCCTATGAAATTTACGTATTATGTACGTTATATGCAGTTTAATATTGTTTTTCCCTTTTCTATTTACATTGTGCTTGTAGAGAAGAACTATTTTTAATACCTTGTCACCAAAATGAATCATAATATTTAGAACTGGTAGTACGGGTTTATTTGGTGATGGCATAGCGGAGGTCGGGGGCTGAAATCTTCAAATGCATATAACTGTTATTTTTAACACTATTATTCATTAATAAATGAAAATAGTAATGATTCTATTATTATCTTAATTATTATTGTTATTATTATTATTATTATTATTATTAATATTAATATTATTTTTATTATTATTATTATATTCTTAGATTTTTCATTGGTGGCTCTTATGCTAGCGGCTGTTGCAGCCATAATAAGGGCCTCCCAGATCCATTTATCTCTTTTTAATATTTTTAGTACTGTGATTCTGTTATATTTTCTGTATTTGCTTATATTATTTTGGATCAAATAAATCATGTGTGTGTCTGAGTCTGTCACCCTCCCATCTTTTGAGAGACTTAAAAGTCAAAACTAATAAAAAAAATCCCTCACCACCCAAAAACATAAATAAGTTGCTTACTCTTTACAAACATTTTTTAAAACATTTCCCCCCTAAAATACACTATCATGTTAGGGGTGGAGATTGGGGTCAGGATGACGGCGACGATCAGACCAGGGGCGGGGGTGCGGAAACGCCCCTCAAAAAGGCAAAAATGTTACGCTGGTGTAGGCCTAAACCTAGGCCTACCTAGTACTACACCTGTAATTTGTTAATCCTTGTGCAATAATAAATTACATTTTTCTAGTTATTAATGTTTAATATTTTTAAATATTAATATTTATAATATAATAAAAATGAAACAATATAACCGGAAAATAAGTTACAGACGAACAAAGTATTTATCTAATTACAAAATATTACGCTTATTTTGTCAAACCACGATACAAAATTAAGAACACAATTGTGCCAAAAAAAAAGACATTAAAATACGTCACAAAACGCTACAAACCCGGAGCGGCTGGGGGCTTTGCCCCCACACCCCAAAAAGTTAGCCCTTCACGGCCCCTTGCCCCAACACCTGGCCCGGGCCCTTCGGACCCTTAGTTACGCCACTGATATTTTGTAGTTCCGCATTTAAAATTTTTGCACCCCCCTCCCCACACTCTTCATAATGTTTAAACATTAATAATTAATTCATTCTGAAATCCCAGTGGGCCAAATACTGCAGGTATTGCCATATATAGAATATTCATATTCTAAAACTGTATTGTACAGTAGGCCTACATGCTAAAATATTGCAATAGATGCTAACATTCCTTATTCCCCACGTATTGACTTATTTTAATATATATTATTCCGTTATATTTACTGAAAATTCATTTGCATCGGCCGCACTAACTGAAGTGGTACGCTCCACTTACCTATATAAATATAGTGCTGAATAGACAAGTGACCATCAGATTGAAAGTGCTCACATTTTGTATTCATCATTTGATAGATAATTTTAATATCTGTCGTATAATACCAAATATATTTAAATCGATTTTTTATTAACTAACGTACTAGCTTTAAAATACCATTTTAGGAAAAAGGTGTAAAATTAGAAAATTTTGAGGTAGATGATCTTTGACATACTGTAACACAAAAATATCAAAATTGATAATGTCTGATTTTTTTAATAGGTGTTTTATTTTGTATAATAGGTCAGTTTTTGGGAAAGTATCACACGAACAGGTTGTTAGCTTTCGTATTTATTTAATAAAACATGTATTATTAAATTTAGCGGAAAAAGTCATAAAAAAATGTTTGGTCACAAGCTAATATAATTTGTCATATAAATCATTCGATAGATAATTTAAATAGCGTTTGTATGATATCAAATATAATATTCAAATTGAATTTTCCAGTGACGGACTAGTTTCAAAATACCATTTTAGGGTAAAAACGTGTAAACTTTGCCATTTCTTGATCAATTTTAGCACCTAAATCCAAAATTCTAAGAGGTAATGATGAGGATTCATTTTGTTGCCAGCTTGTAACAAATCATACGTACGAAAAAAATGTTTTGAGCACTTTCAATGTTAACCCGCCTAGAATATTACGGTACTTTGCTCTTTCCACAGTACTAACGTAATTTGCATAATGAATACTCACATTTTGTAGATTTATGTCTATATAAAAACCAATAATGGTAAGACACCTACAAGACTGATGCTACGATATATTTCGTGCAGATCTGTGCACGCGTCTGGACGGTAAATCGTCACAAATTGTTGGTCCTTACTCAAATATATGTATATGTATGTAATCTAGTATGGTTATTGAACTGTATATTTTACCGCTATCATAATCAGTGTGTTGCATTGCAAACGGTGGTTTTGAGTATCAAATGTAAAAATATATATATAAACTAATATCCCGATACTTGCTAAAGTATTTGAAAAAGTTGTCGCATCAGCGCTTGTCAAGTACCTGGATGAAAATCAACTTTTCGATCCTTACCAGTCAGCTTATCGGACGAGACATAGAACAGAATGTACTCTTCGTAAGGTCGTCAATGACATGTCGATTGCGCGTGTGACTGCCACTGTGTTCTATTGGTGTATCTTGATCTGTTAGCCGCATTTGATACCATCGATCACGTTATACTCATTCGTCGGGTGTCTGAAATCGCAGTCTCTGGCACTCCCTTGGCATGTTTTTTTTTTCTTACCTGTCATCTAGGCACCAATTAGTGCGAGGGAATTCTGTTCTTTCCGAACCTCTGGCTGTCAAATGGGGAGTTCCACAAGGTTCTACCATTGGACCTATTCTCTACTTGATATACATACAACCACTTGGTATGATCATTCAGAAGTATGACATACCCCATGTACGCAGATGATACTCTTTTGTGCACACCCTTTCCCTTAAAGTGTTTCAATGTAAAATTGCACAATTGCGAGAAACAACAACGCTCGAGCTCAACTAAGGAGGCTAGGCCTACGCTAGCAGCAAGGCCCGTCCATTTTAGTGCATGCCGGGGAGTGACGAACTGAAATTGTTTGGTTTAAACAAAAAGATCCAGTATTATTATCTATATATACTTTAAGACCTATAAACATCATACAGTATACGATTGACTTTACAAATGGACTGTATAACTTTTTAAAAAATGTAAAAAAACAAATAATAAAAACTAAACAGTCCAGTTAGCCCTAAAAAGGGCAAAACCAATAAAGTCAAAAACGGGACAAAGCAACATCCAATCGGAGACGGTTGAAGTGCAAGAGCGCAAAATTCAAACGGCACGAGCAAGCCTAGCATAACTACCGGTAGCGATCTTCTCGTAACGAAGAAAGTATCTGCTAAAGATGCCTCAACATTACGATGGAAAAGATTCAAAACTCTGCCAAACAATCAAGGTGTAGATAAGCTGCCACCAACTGCAGGAGCCTTATATTCAGCCTATATTGCGTGTACATCTGCAGGCCAATATATGGAGCCAGGATACTGTTATTCATCCAGAAATCCCTGATCCATGGAAACTGGGCTGGGTTATGGAAGATGGTAAATTGAGACC